CGGTTATACATCGAACTCAGTAGCGTATGAAACATCGTATTTTCTTATCAATTGATGGACTACAATATGAGTATATACTTACCTAATATAAGTCTTTCAACCACGAATTCTAATAAAAAAATATAATTCCGGACAGGATACAAAGACCGCGGGTGGTCTCGCTTCGCTTATCTAGACACAAAGTTAAGCTTGGAAGCAATAATTAATCATCGCATTAGCAAAATTACTATATTCATGATTACAGCTCGGTAACATTCCATTTTAAATACAATGGTAAAGTACCATTGGAAATTTATTTTCTACTTATGAACACTTAATAGTAATCTATTTATATTGTATTCGTGGCCAATGCGTTATTGTCAACATTATACAAATATATTTAAACCCTAGTTAATCAGTAAGTACTAATAATAATAATAACAATATTATTGTTAAACCGTTAACATATCAAATCCTAGTCATTATTTTCGTAGTTTTGTATACTGTTTCTATATTTTATGTAGTGATAGTCACATGTGTTCTCAATAAGAGTTATATTATTAAACAGTTTTGTTTTCAATTATTATCAATTAAACATTTTTAAATAATCAATTGTTATCAGTTTGCACTCTTCTCTTATCTCCAATACTGATGTTATAGAAAAATATTGTGATACAATAATCATTATATCATGAACAAGTTCCAATTTATATATTTCAATTGGAATACCTGCAAATATCTAATGGGACAATATTTGGATATTTTTTTAAAATAAATTATATAAATTCATACTCTTCAATATTGAATCATTAGGTACGCAAACATGATAATACTTAATAACATTTTTCAAAGAGGTATTTATATTTATTTATTTATTTCATGCGGACTATGTCCAATTTACAATAAAACATATACAACCACAACACTGTATACAAAATGCAAATACCTACACGAACAATTTTTAAAACTAAACTTTCAGAAATAAAATTATATTATTTAAATCAGAGTCTACCTTACAATAATTTTGATTGGGGGATCAAGACGGTTAATTGTATTGATTTTATTAATGCCAAACTATCCTGTAAATGTATAATTAAACCCTGAATTAATAAGATACGTTTCAATGAATATTTTTGGGCTTTTAAATCTAAATAAACATATTGTGAATAATTAACTATTTTCTTAGTAATAAATATAAAAAGTTTAATTTAGAAAAATATTTTCGCTTAGAGATTAAAATTTTCAAATTAAGAAAACATTTGGTTAGTTTTAAAAATATCACAATGATGCCGAATAAATGTCTTATAAGAGTTAGTTCCAAATTTAAAAACAATTAGGTGAGTATGTAAAACATATTATACCTACGACCATATTAATAATTTACATCACAATAAAAAATTAGAGTTCTACAAAATAGTACCCACACTATTATTAACATTACTCAAAATGTTATCACTAATTAATAAATAACAATAAAAAAAACACTGCTTATTGGAAATTTTTCTCATATTTGTTCATTTTCATTTAGTTTTTTTTTTATAAATAAATTATTATTATAGATGATCGGTGTCGAATATTATGATTTAATTATGGATGGTAGATGGTAAGTAACATAGCGCTTCATGATACGCCTACAATTAATGAGCTATTACAGCAGTTCAGTGCATGGCCCCCATTCTGTTTACAATGTTTAATATCAATTTGTTGTATCAATAATTAAAAATAATTTCAGTGTGTAAAATAAATACAATTTAATGAACACCAGAATAAAAAGTCAAATATAAATTTATCGTTAATCCAACAAGTATCAACGAATAAGTGTGTTTACTTGTATGTCTGAATGTATTATTTACCAAAATTTAGCTTCTAATATCAAAAAACAATATGATTTAGTAACGATTTAAAAAAAAATGTAACTTCGAATTCGTTCAAATTTGTTTACTAAACATTTTTGAATTTTTTGTATGACGGTTGAGAATATAATGTAGTAAATGTACGTTAATGTTCAGAGTTTGTCAGAATTTGGTAATTACATTTTTCTATTTTCTAACTCAATTATTTAAAATTTGATTATGGCAAAATATGTCTGTACTATGTAGACTAATGGGATATATAGGCAGTATCGCAAATACTTTAATAACTTACTACATTCTAATGGCCTATTTTACCTAGAAAAATAATAAATATCATTATTTTCGTTACCTAATTACATAAAATATTGATTTGGCCAATGTTTTAAATGTCCAATATCATATATACATATAAAATTAAATTAATATTTTCTATTATGTATTCATTGAGTTTTGAACTTTCTTGAATTAATTATGAAATTAATTATGTTAAAAATTCAAAATTTAATAACCCTGTAGGTACAAATGAAATGTTAATTAAATAAACCAAATAACTTTGTGTGCTTTTATAAAAATAACATCAATTTCTTTTTTTATGTATTAAAAGAATATTTTCACCCCATACTTATTATACTATTATAATAAATTAATAATTATATACTAAAACACTAACAACGTGGCCATAATATCAGGATAAAATGCAAAATCGAATAAGTTCATAACGTTAAACGTGTTGTCATGGAACAGAATAAGCAGATTTCATTGTATATTTTTTATGATTATTTAGTCAATAAGGAACAAGTATAAGAGGCTTATATATAAATTATAAATCTATAAAAGTGTGTTACGTGCTTTTATTTATCTTGTTCATTCATAAATACATGTTTAATGGAATATCGAATATAGTTCACGTTTCATTGGGCCAACTGTGTAGTTGCATTAAATTGAATATCGATTATGACTATCACATAATTTACAAATAATTTGAACAAGTTGTATTATCCAACACCTTTTCTCGAAAATTAATACAAAGTATAGAATAGTATTCTAAATTTGCTACCGATAAAAAGCTTACATAAAGTCATATTTGTTTATTTTACCTAAATAAATAACGAAATACATGCACCTCAATACTTAAAAAAATAAAGATTCGTATTTGAAAAAATGTATTTACTTCAAAATAATAGTATTTAAATAATTGAATAGTTGTCTCTAATAAAATAGAAAACGAATGGATACCAAAAAAACTATTATTCATACGTTTTTCTGAATAAAAGTTTTGATAGATAAATTGTATGGTGCTTGACATGATTAAATAATTGTATTATAATTTAATTTTTACGCAATTACTTAATTGACAAGGAAAAAAATGTACTAAACAATTATTAAAATATGAATTTGACTTTTTGCACACTTTGGCAGCAGTATTGTAATTTGAAATTGAATCTCACGATAATTAATGATGTTAGCTAATTATTTTATACTAAGCTGATAAAACTTGTCTTGTTAACATTTATAAAAACTTTAATAATGTACATCCAGTATAACCAATTTGACGCCAGTAACTTCTCAAGATTATAGTAAGATTAAAATTAAATTGTAATTATATTAAATTATTATAACTAAGACAAAATAATCAACAATTATTCCCCTCCAACATAAAAAAGTTTAAAATCATTACAAACACCCATTTGGTTCTTGTTATTGAATGTAATAATAACCATTGAGCCTTAACTTTTTTTTCTAACTGTGCGTTAAAATATATATTACAATGGTTATATTTTGATATTCTGAGACATACTTTTGGACCAATCTTATTAAATGATAAATATTTAATATTTATTTATATTATTCTGAATAGAACACTGTACTATGTACTTTAGATTTTCAAGATATAAATTATCTTTATAGTTTTATTTTTGCGAGTTGATATAATATGCGTTTTGGTGGAGAACATAAGGCGGTGTAATAGTTTTACCGCAAAACCAAATCACTGGCATCATTTACTACAAACCCTAAGTATTACTAGGAATAGGGAAATTACTAAATAGTATAATTTATTACCTATCGAACATCTTAACTTTATCTCAAAACCTAACTTTCCGTTGTCTTATAACGTATATTATGTTCTGAATTACATTAGCTGTTATTTCATGAATAGTGACGAACGATTTCTCAATGTCCCATTCTATACTATTATTTTAAATAATAAACCAACATCTTTCACAAAATTCGCAATAATTTTTTGTTTACAAAAAAAAAACTCGAGTTGTGGATAATTTAAAACTATATATACTATATAGGTATTATTATATAAACACATGATATGCTTACATTTAATACTAGGTATGATACATAATTACCAGTTTGTATATACTTCTAAACAGCAAAGAAGATGGATCCAATTTCCAATTATGAAAACTAGAGTTATGTTAGTAATAATGATAGTACTAACGTACCTATATGGAATGTTGTCACACGTAATATTTCTTCTATGATTTTAATTTAATATTAGTGTTTACTAAGAAATATTAGCTTTGTCTGGTAATACAACAATATTTAAAATAATTCCGTATGCACACATTACACCGATATTTTTCATAAATTTAATTTGAATTCAAATTTTCGGTTTATATATTCAACAAAGTTTATCAAAATTGTCTTAGATACTATATGGACTCGTGGACAGTGCCCATGTAAATATTTAAAGACGTTATTTCTCCTGAATTATGCACCAATAATAATTTAAAAAGTAAACATTATTGAGTCAACAATGCTGGTTAGCGTTCAGCGTTCACCAAATATATATTTTTCTTCATATTATGTTCCAAGTTTTTTTCGTAACCAAAAACGAAAAAAATGTGATGGAAGCTGATTCATTTTGTATTATCATCCACCTTGCAATTATTAGTTTTCACAGAAAAATAGTTTTAACAAGTTTAATACTTCACCATTTAGACATAACAGTCATGCTGTTTTTGTCAATAATGTGTGTTCTGTTGATTATACTTAAGAAAATTTAAAAAATAATTCGATTTTTGTATAGAATACCTATCATTTTGATCGAGTTAGCAAAGGTTACTTAAATTTATAGTATAATAAATATTGATAACATTGCATTCTAAAATAAATTTAAAAAAAAAAACAAAATAATAAAATATTTTTACTAACCTTGAATTTTAGTTGGGTTTTGAATCAACATCAAGATACACGGTACAACAGAAATTAGGAGAATTCCAAACTTAAGAAGTATCTTCATAATGATACTTTTTGAGTAGAAAATTATTTTATTTAATTCACTGTTGATCACTTAATAAATCCGACATTTGTGGTAGTCATATACATTAATAAACGAACACTTAAAAAGAATCATTCTGATTTTACATTTCACATTCGAATAATAATAAAAAATAAGAAATGTATTTGTATAGTTTTATTTAGTAAAATCCTCTTTTGGTTGTAATGAAAAAATTTTGTATATTTTCAAATCTTCATCGTTGGAAACTAGAACAAATGAAAATAAAAATAATATTATAAAAATGTTTAAAATAAAAAAAAATGTTTTGGGAGTTCCTATTTACAACTTTATCAGATTAAATAAAAATATATTGAGTTAAACACCTGCATGAATTAAAATTAAAGATAAAACAAAATATGTACACTATTTAAGAATAAAGTTGAAAGGATAAAATTCAAAATGTTGTTAAAACTTACTCAATACTTAGTACCATGTCATTTTACATCACAAATAATACCAGCCAAATTTTTAATTTCTGTAGAAATTGTATATCTGTTTTTTCAATGGAGCATTATCAATTTATTTCAAAAATTAACACCATTAGCTTCAAAAAAAAAAAAAATAGAAATTTGATTTACTTATCAACTGTAATTTAATTCCTAAAATGCAAAAAAAAAAAACACTCTTACTATAAATTCTAAAATATGTATTTTATATCATAATTTTATGTGAGTATAAATTATGTATTATTATAATTAAAAGAATGAAATTTTTTTATGAATAGGTATTCCTTTTGAAAATCAGATTTTCATTTATTTATTTATTCATTTACTATGTAAATGCACTAATGAGTTATTAATGAGTAAATATTATACTTATAACTAAGTTCTATTTACGGTGCAGAAAAAAATGTCCAAGAATTTATAATTTTATACTTTATTAATAATAGTCCAATTGTAACTATTTATTTGGAAAATGTTATGCATAACATATAACTATAAAAACTACATATCGTATTGAATAAGATTAAACATTAGTATTATAATAAGTACCTATAATGTAGGTACTTACTCTTCTAGAAACCAATTTTAAACTACAGAATTTTTTGATGCGTAATATGTGTTATTTGGTATCCAAGCTATGATACATATTACTATGAAATGGATAAAAATCATGCAAGCAAACATTTTTTTTTGTATACAATTATAATCATTCGTAAATACTTAAATAGGTAACTATGCACATTTTTTAAGATGAACACAATTTACAACAAATTAATCACAATATTATAAGGGTATTTAAAAACTAAAACACATGGACAGATACGGATAATAAATGCAGTTATGTTTGAAAAAATATTATAATAATATAAAAATACTGGAACTCCTAAAAGAGACGAAAATATAACAAGCACACATGGATTATATATCACATGTAACTTTGATAATGTAAAACTTAATGTATCATTTTAAGATATTAACTTTAGTAGTTGTATGTATTTTAGAAATTATAAAATTGAATGTGTTTCTTCAGAAACCCCAATAACCCTGGTAGTTGAGACATAATTTTAAATTAAAAAATATACATATATTTATAAATATATTCATGTTTTCATTCTACATTTAAATATTTAAACTAACAAATTAATGTATTAATTTAATGTAATATATAATTGAAATATTTTGAGTATTTATAATAATAATTATGATAAACATTTTATTTTCTGACTTACTGAGGCTGTTAAACAATTCAATTAAAATCAAAAATTAATTAAAAGTTGTGTTAACTGTCCATGTGTCACGATATTTTAAGCAAATAAAATTTTAGACGTGTTATAAATAATGGGTGAAGCATCTTAAACTATTATATGGCACTTAACCGTCGGATCAAAAAAAAAGCGTCGTTTAAAACCTATACGACAACTACAAATAAGTAATTTTGCACGAATGTCAATAATACGATAGAATAAACAATAAGAATAAGAAAGAAAAATATTTTTCAGTTGGTATTTTTTAAAACTGTGCCATAAAATTAATTGTAGGTTTAATTTATCAAGAAAGTTTTTTGAAAAAAAACACACGCTCGAGCTTACACAAATGATATATTCTAGAAAAATCCTATAGTATAACAATATTCGACGTGTTACCATTGAGTGAATTACATATCACGTCGAGATTTCATACACCGACGTGCGCATCCGATCGACAAACTATGCGAACAGTTTGACGATTACAAAATAAATTTTTATTCGCGATTCGTTGGCATAACCGATGGAGCACATGGTCAACGGGACACTGAACAGGCGACAAGCCGCGAGCCAGCCAAGCCGAGTGAGGCGGCGCTCGGCGCAAGCGTTAAGTAGAGTTGCACCTATAGACGGATAAACATCACGACAACGGTTGTTCATTACCGGACGGATATTGTACGATATATTTGCACAGGTAAATGGTTATTATAGGCAAGGCTGGTCATCAACGCGTCGACAAGTTTAAGTGAATACAAAAAGTTAAGTCGATAAGGACGGGACTGTACAATTCGAAAATATTGTAGCCGATATTATTTAAGCCGAAAAATATTTGATCAGAACACCGTATATTAATCAACCCGAACCATGTTTTGTCCGAACCGTATTTTATAGCCTACAAGTATTTTAGTCGCCAAATATTTACACGTTTACCGTGTATTTATGGTAAATGTGCATGGTATTATTATCGTGGTAACCACGATTATATAATACCTATATTATATTTATACCAGTGATCCAGACTATCCAGCACTGTCGCCTTGGGTGTAAAAACATCATATATTATTACAGTGATACCTATATGGTCACTAACTTGCTGCGCTGCACTCGGACAGAAAAAAACGAAAATATCCCTCGATGTGCTATGATACACCACCTCAAGTTGGTCACAATATTAATAAATTGTCGGCTAAAATACGGTTCTGTCAAAATATTTGTCTACGTTGACATTTTTCGGTTGAAATAATGATTGGCCGAAATGTTAGCGTCCATTTTATTCGCTAACATAATTTCATATTTTCGTATACAACATTATAAATATTTTTTATAATTGTTATGAAATCACGAATGCGAGAATATTATTATTAATGACCGTTATCTTAGACCGTCGTCGTTAGTTGGTGGACTAGACTGTTCTTGGTAATACCACCTTTATTTTAGTACAATGTATTAGTAATTCGACAATTCCACAAACGTTCGTTTGTTATAATTATACCCTGTTTCAAAAAAGAATATTATTCAACATACCAGCCGGCCTAAGCAAAACCGATTTTCTTACGCAGATCTGGTATATTCTCTTCTGAAACAGGGTATAGCGATAACATTATAAATGTATTATATATTTTAAATTCTTAATATAGTATCATATATTTTTTTCTATATTTCTACCTACTTAGGTACATACCCTATAGTTTTATATAACAGTCAGTTTGCAATGCAAACAAATAGCTGACAAAAAATAGTATGATAAAGATTCGATTTCAATAATAAAAAAATGATTAGAATGTTAGTACAATTCCTTGCTAATCGACTTAAATTACATATTCGTTTGTCATTGTTTCTTTATAAACATTCTACAGCGAATAGGTTATAATATGATATTACTTAACATATTTTCGGGATTTAAATCATTTTTACACAAATATTTTGTAACAATACAAATTAGATTAAAATATATTTTGTATTCATTTTTTCTATTAGAGCACACGATATTATTGTCCTACTATTATTAGACAATTTTTTTATTATTTGTTTTTTTTATGTACATAAAATTCGTTTCATTCAACTGAACATTTTAAACTAACTGTCACCCTGCTTTTATAATTTACGACTATTGTATGGTACTTTAATTAAAACAGAGCATGATGAACACCTAATAAAATTATTATTTATACCTACTACAAAAAGACGGCGGATGTTTTAGATTTTATTTTAAACATAAAATTAAGTTATTAATAAGATTTATGTTTTAATTTTTAATTACTTACAAATAATCTTCAACTTATTTTAATAAATCAATAGTATATACCCACAGATACCAAGCACGTTTTCGAATTTCAGACAAGTTTGTCAGTAAATAATGAACTAAAATTATAATTTAAATGCAGGTAGGTAGTCATCAAACATTTGATTAATTATTCACTTTTATTTAAATAAATTTTATATTAAAATATTATAATGATTTGTATTAAAAAGATGCCACACGTAGGTTGAACTTGTTATACAAATGAGTGATATAACAAATTTGTATTCAAGCAGTTTCAAATAAATGTATGTAGTTACCTTAAATATACAATAAATTTAAAAACTATAAAATCATAAAAACCCGTGTGAAAACACAGATAATGTTAATACACTAAAGTTTGATATTATAATGGGTCAATTTACTCTATTATCAGAGGTTAATAGACACAATATTAGAACTGCTGATTACAAGTTAACACATTCAGAAGTGTGGCTTCCAATGGTGTAATTATTTAAATGTGTATATGAATTTGAGATTGAGTGAAGCAATAAATGTATAGGTCTTAAAGAGGTGTTTTTTTTCCTGTACTCTTAAATATTGTTTGGATACGTATATAGTAAACTTATTGAAATTATAAATCTTATCTTTATAATTCAATATAATAATTTTATTTGTTACAAATATTTTTGATTCTGAGTGAAGCGATGAATGTATTTGTCTTACTATAAATGTGAAGAGTTTTTTTTTCATCAATTACTACTTTTAAAAGTAGAAATAAGGTTCTAATTTCAGCGTTGAGGGTTAATTCTGGTACTAAATTAGATTTTTCTTGAAAAACTAAATAACCTGTATTATTCAAACATACTGGAAATAAACTAAACAAAAATACGGAGAAACAGTAATACATGCTATTCAAAACCAGTATTCAACAAAATTGATTTTTATTTTTTGATGTAACTAAAAAATGAATAACCTCAATAGGTACCTTATATTTTTACTGTATGTTTATAGCACCATTTTTTATACATGATAAGATTTTTCAAAATATTTTGAATCTTTTTGTGTTTGATTTCAAACACAAGATTTGAAATTTTCAATTTATGGTGACATGTATTTATTTTCTATGTTACAAATATTGAATATTTAATAACTAAAACTTTTGAATTCAATACAAATTTTCAATCAGTTTTTGTACAGCCATCTATAAATATAAAAAATACATATGTACATTTTTCTTTTGTGAACATTTGGAGTTCAAATTTTGAAGACATTTAATATTGAATCGAAAACTTACAAATTTTCCACCGACGTTTTTAATTATCTTATAACATATACTATATATTAATAAGATGGATAAAAAAACGCCTTCTGTCTCAAGCTCGTGATGTATTAATATTATGTATGTTATATTTTAATATAAATTAAACAGCTATAAAAACAATTGCGAAATGTTATAAAAGCCAAAACAATGAAAGTTAAGTTCTGTTTTCAAATATTATTATTTTTCTGGTTAATAAATAGAAAGAATAACCTCCATACAAAATGATCCAAAAATTAAAATAATAGCTTTTATTAAAAAACATTATCAATACTACTAATATCACACGCTTAATAAATATACAATAAATAATATAATTAACACAGTTATCAGGATTATAATATGTTATTTAAATTTAATAGTACGATAAATATTATTGACAATATTCCTTAGGTATGCTCGATTGTCCGTATTTTCGTAGTCATCATTGAAATAACAATAAATATTTGAAACATAACAATTGTTTAACTATATCCATTTGTACCTTCTAGACGGTAGATTGTAGGTGCTGATTTATCTTTATTTCTTTCAACATTTGTTTCTTTTGAATTTCTTGAATACATTTCTATAATGTTAGGTGACTTAGATTCAGTAACCTATTGATGACTCTATTGACGCCTCTGTGGACGCCTTTATTCCACCCTTCAATATAATTTGAATAGGAAAACTAGATATAGTAGACGCACAGCGCCGTCTTAAAATGGAATAGAAAATCTAAGGTTTCTCATTCTATTTGGTCGACCGATTCATGTATCCCTAAAATCGGTTATAAGTGTCGTCTTCAAAATGTCTCCATTATCAATGTAATATGTACGTACTTTCACATAATGTCTCAAATACGTGTATGATATTGATATGACGTGATTTTCAGAAACTAAATCTAAAATAGTAAATCATTCCAAGTTCGTTTTATATTTGTCCACAGAAATAGATATGGTTTTTTGCCAAATACAACGTTTAAAAGACAACAATTGTTATTTTGTTTTATATTGGGAAATTGCATTTCAAAAGAGTTTTAAGATCTTTTTTAAAAATCGGATTTTATTTGCTAGTTTGTTGTTATTTTGGTATGTAACTTAATAATGTGTATTTTTATGTTCAAAAATAACTAATCATATTATAAACTTTGAGTTTTACCTGGAAATAGAGGAAGAGTTCCATATGTGAATCAAATATAAGATTTAGCCCCTAAATATAAATTGTCTATCATAGATAATACTAAATTCCGTTTTCCACCGGTTCAGTACCATCTATTAAAATGTTGTTGCTCTCAATAGTTTGGAATAATATTATCATGTAATGTAATATCTATTATAGTTGACGTGGTAGATGGAGCAGAATTATTAATTCTCTGCACACGACACACATTAATTTAATCTCACTGGACGAAGAGTTCCGTGAACTTCCTACGAATACAATGTCGACGGTTCGGAAACTATCTAATGTGGAATGCCTTTAATAAGATGATTATAGAGCTTAGATTTTAATTGTGTCTATACAAACTCGTGGTTAAATTTCCCGGTTCAATGTGGTATGATTAAGTCCTTTGACAAATTCTTTACTTTTTAAAAAAAAAAATTGAATTCATATCCTCATTTATTAAATCCCCAATAGGTATAGTATTTTATATATATTTTTTGAAAACCAATACAAATACGAGTATATATTATAATATTTTAATACATTTTTGTTATTTTGACTTCGATTGAATTCGATAATGCTACACAAATGTTAAAAGTATAAATGTCGAACACGTCGGCGTAATACGATTTGAATATTATGACAGATACAACACGAATATACGACTCAGACTAAGGACGACTACCAATCCGATAACAACACGACCGCTTACCTAATTTATTATTTCCTACACTATCACCGACTCAAAAGTACAAAACCACATTGATTGATTAATTACATATTCTGTTTAGATATGAGCAACAGTTGTATACATCATACATGCACATTTTTTACA